TCCGCAGGCAGGGTTGGTCCCTTCCCTCCCTGTCACTACTCACTGCTTCCCAGCACCCGCTTCGGGGATGCACCTCTGTCACTCGATGCGTGTGGGAACCACAAAGTCCGACTCTAGGAGCCAGGTCCACCAGGGTTCCCTGAGTCGTCTGTCTCTGAGTTGATATTTGTAGGGGACTGGATTTCTCGCAGGGTAGAAAGGTAGATGTTTCTGGGCCTGGCCACTGCCCGCAGTACCCCAGGATCTTCACACAGAGGGGGCAGCATCCATATGCATGGCCACGGTCACAGCATCATCTGAAACATAAGCCAGGGCGTTTGCTACACGAGCACTGAGAGTCACCCCACTGTCCACACGCAGAAGTTGGGGGATTTATCTCTGTCATACTTGAGGCTTGAGGGGGAGGAAGACTCAGATACGTGCCTTTGGCTCCATGCAGGGCTCTCATCATAAAGTATCTTGAACGTGGAAGAGAGAAGTGAGGAGAGCATATCACCTCAGACCCTGTGAGGGCCGGTGAGGACGGTGGCCTTCTGGGGTGAGAGCAGAGACAAGCACAGATGAGAATGTGTTCTGGTCCCGGCTCTGCACCGGAGAGCCTCCCCGTACAGTGCAGGGTCAGGGCCGTGAGGGCGAAGCTCAGCATTCACAAATCTCTTTCCTACAGAAAGTGTAACATGAAAGGAATGAGGTTCATGTTGCACTTTGCCTGAAAATTAGTTGATGTTTATGTCATTGAGATAATGAGAACAAAATCCAAAAACAACACATGCAGCATCATCTGCGAGAGATCTGACTTGCCTGGAAATACTTTGGAGAGAAAACTGGGTAAAGGGGGACGAGTCTCCTTTTAATTATGGCAGATTCCTCCCCACTTGGTGAGGCCCTCCCCTCTGACAAGATGATCTCAGGCAGGTCGAATTACAATGGCCTCCTTTGGAGTTTGTCCTCTGTGCCCATATTTCAGGGACAGTCCCAGGAGCATGTTCTAATGGTAGACTTTCCTGAACCCTGTTCATCAGTGTCCTGCGTGTGCTCCCACCGACAATGCTGTGAAGTTTAAGAAAGGTGTGCTGGATGCACGTGCAGAAGGTTGGGTGTTCTGAGCTGCTTAGTCTAGAGCCTTGTTTACAGTGGGCATCCGTACTTGCTTTTCCCTTGAAATTGGCAGGTTCACTCCAGGCAGCTTGGCCTGGCTCGTGCTGAGGGCTCTCCCTGCCCACCTGTCACCTTCTCCTGCAGAGCCTCTGGGAGACCGTGCAACACTCCGATGCCTTCTAAATCTGTTCCTTACCCAGCCGCTCAAATGGTATGCCAGCTGATGGGTTACCAAAAGGCACCCGTCTCTGCAAAAACGAGGGTGTGTGCTTCGGGAACACTAGAAGAGGCAAGTTGCTGAGCAGCTATCGAGTTGGAGATGAGAATGACAGCTGGGGTCAGCTCTGGAAATCTAGCCTGGCAGGAGTCTGTCAGCACACGTCCAGACTCTCAAAGTGGGAACCCGAGGCAAGGCTTCAGGGGGTGTCTGCACAGGAGAAACACCGAGAGGCCCAATCAACCAGTCCATACTCAAGGGAAAGCCTTTGGCTCTGTGCTCCAAGTTTAAGTAATAAATACACACTTTTGTGTTTTAAATTAACAGATGTTGAAGGCATGAAGTGTTGTGTATTTGAGCTGTCCTGTCATCATCACAGACCACGCGTAGCTACTGCAACTGAGGAACTGAACTGTTGTTGTATTTAATCTGAATTAATTCACATTTAAATTGAAAGGGTCACATGTAGCTAGTGGTTGCCATCTTGGAAAGTGCAGTTCTAGGATCTTTTTCTCAGTTTTATACCAATGTATTCCACTTGGTTCATTTTCTTTTACTTACTGTTTTAGCTAAGAGTTCTGACTTGCGTTGAATAACAGTGGTGATAGCAAGGGTCCGGTCAGGTTCCTGACTTTGGTTGCACACTGTGTTTAATCATTTCTAATTATACTTGCTATTTTAAACAAACGGCCTTTGTTATGTTAAAGCAGTGTCATGTTATTTTCTTGCTTAGAGTTTTTGAAAATTAGGAATGGTTGCCAAATTTCATCAAGTAACTTTTCAGAGTCTATTGATATGAACAAACTTTTTCTCCTTCCCCAGGCTGACTCTGGACTTCATTATCACCATCTTAAATACCGAGGGTTGCTGCCAGTGCGTAACAAAAATAAATTCCTCATGCAGGCCTGATTGCCTCACCTGAGCCATACTGACTTAGACAATCTAGACTACTCACCATTTCTCAAACTAGACTTTTCTCCCGAGTGTAATGTCTTTGCTCATGCTCTTCTTTTATTAGGAATGGCCCCTGCCTGTCACACTTCTGTCCCTCCTCCGATCTGCCCTCCGAGTCATGTCACAGTTGTTGGTTTACCACAGTTGACCATATAACAATCAATATTTCCTTTCTTGTATAACTTTATGCTTTTCTTGGAACAATAAGTACCTCGTTTTTCTGTTCCTTCATTTTCTATCTATCAGTAATTAAGCATCCCACTTTGTACCAGAACAACAAATTACTCTCAAGACGATCGGATACATAAGGTCATCACAAAATGCTATTTCTTTCTTAGAGCATCTCCTCCTGGGTGCTCCATCCCCCTGCCTCAGTTCACCTGGCTGGTCTGGGGCCTCCCACGGGTTCTGTTCCAGTTAGGTGGCATAAGCTCAGCCTCCAGAGAAACCTGGCAAGGGAAGGAAGGGTGGAGGTCTCAGTGCTCAGAATTCAAACCTGACGGGATGCTCTTCCGTTCACCCTGTGCGTGGTGTCCTGTGTCCAGAGCCCCTCCAGTGGGCAAGCATCACCTGTGTCTTGCTCCTCACCCCTCTGCAGGCTTGGCAGTGTCTCCCTCTGCTCTCCCTCATTACTTAGCACAGATGTATGCTTTCTATCTTCCAAGTTTATTGACATCTCTGGGTGCTACCCTTTCAAACTTCTTGATGTCATTTTCGTGGGATTTGGGAAGTGGAAGAGAGGAGCTTAGGACTCTTAATTGGCTGTTTCCTGCCCTCAGACTCGCCGCATATGTGAACGCTCAGTACCAGCCTCTGGCCTTCATCCGCACGCATCCCTGGGCCGGGCACACTGCTCTCCCCACTGGGCCATAGGTAGGCAGGCTGGTTACTCTTGAGTAACCTCTGAGTGGTCTCTGAGTCCTGCACAGCCACCGCGTGGGGGTCCAGTAAACGCACAAATAAAGAGAAGGTTTGCCAGCGATCGAAAGGATGATCCATCAGACTCTAGGTACTTGAATCCAATCCTGCTGTAATGTGAAGATTGACTGAAATGAACCCATGGATTTAATATGTCTCCATTAAGGTTTCGTTATTGAAGCAGAAATGGTCATTTTTGTGGTGAAGACAGTTGAACTTTCACAATAACCATGGCCAGTGGTCAGAACGTGCTGCTTATTGGTGGAGAGGCTCAGCCTCCGCTTCTGTTTCTCTGGAGAACTGGACACCTTGACTGACCCCCTTGGTGGCTCTCTGTGGGGAACCCTGGCCCTGGCCAGTCTCGTCCAAGCCTCAGCAGCCACCTGTCTCCTGTGCTGAGATTGGACAGTCATTGCAGGGCCTCTCACCGGCCTGGTCTCTGCATCCAAGGCACGCACCTGGAGTAGCTAGTCACTCACTTGTACTCAATGACTTGTTCTGAATATTTCTTCAAAAGCAATGTTTCTTTAAATATGTAAGAATGTTAATATAGTATGAATGTATGCACTCATTTAATTATTGACATGTAACTGAATTTTTAGAATAAATATATTTTCATTTTTATTTTAAAACCTTTAGAAAGTATTTTCATCTGCAAAACTTGCCTTACAGCCACTTTATCAGAGGTATCTGCATTCCTGAAATAAACACTCCTGTGGTCAAACCAGGACTGTGGATATTCCATTGGTGTTTGTGTGCAGTCGCTGCACAGGACTCGGTGGCTTGTGAGAGCAGACCCGCTGTTCATTCATTCTTCTCTAGGCTAGCACATTGCTCCTCCAATATTGAAGTTTAAATGAAATATAGCACTTTAGAGGTCACAAAATATAGTAGCAATATCTTGGACTTGTGGTAAAAAGCCCTGGGTTCAAGTGTGGATTCAGTCACGGTTTGTGTGATGTTGAGAGGTCATTGCCTTTCATCTGGGATGACGGACGCATGTTTGTACGCCTTGCACAGGGTGGGGTGGTTGCTGAGGCCCAGAAAGAGATCTGGAAAATGGTTTAAGCTATAACATTATACAAATTAGGTTATCTGATAACTGCATGAGGGTGACTTAAGATTTCATCACTTAGATGCCGTCTTAACTGTTAAAATCAAGCCAACTTATCAAATATTTAAATTTGCAAATTACCTTTGAAGTCAGATGCCCTAAAAGCACGAGTAGACACTCATCCTGGGGACCCTAAGCTTCCAGGACTTACACAAATCCCCAGTAGGACCCATGTGATCACGCTGGGGGATGCATATCAGCAGTAGAAGAGTAACTGACCTTTCTATGAAAATTCAGCAGTGCGCAGTACACATTGGAATAGTCAAGTACTTTCCACCACACATCTGATTATTTCTCCAAACCTGATTAAAATGAACACACAAGCTAAGAATATTCTCAATAATATTGTTGTAATGGGCTATCTACTTGCAAAGCTTTTATTTATTTATTTATTTTTAAGATTTTACTTATTTGACAGAGAGAGACACAGCGAGAGAGGGAACACAAGCAGGGGGAGTGGGAGAGGGAGAAGCAGGCTTCCCACCGAGCAGGGAGCCTGACGCGGGACTCGATCCCAGGACCCTGGGACCATGACCTGAGCCGAGGGCAGACACCCAACGACTGAGCCCCCCAGGGGCCCCTACTTGCAAAACTTTTAAACAGATGTGCTCCTACCAACCTGGGCATCCCCACAAGCAGCAACACCTATGCTTCCCTCGTGCTGCGTTAGTCCTTCTTATACCTTCTCTCTCCCTCCAGCCTGCAGTGGTGTCTGGGACAACATTACGTGTTGGCGCCCTGCGGACATAGGCGAGACCGTCACAGTGCCCTGTCCTAAAGTGTTCAGCAATTTTTACAGCAAACCAGGTACTGTCTGTCAGCATTGTCTAAGCTCCTGCAGAGGCTGTGGGTTGGATTCCCCATCAAGGCCTCAGGAAGCAGCTCACTGGTTTCCTTTACAAAGGGAGTCAGGGAACAGCTGTGCCCTTTGTGTGTGCCGAGTGGTTTTAGGGGCAGGGGAATGAGAGGCCTCTTGCCAGGTCAGCCACCTGAAATGAAACAGTGGGGAGAGCAGGCCTCAGACAAGCGTGGACGCATGAGCCTGATACGTGACAGGTGGGGCCTGAGCACCAAAATGAGGGGAGGTGGCAATGCCCACGAGGGGCGGCGGGCTTTAGGCGCCGAGAACGTAAATGTGGTTCTAGGCTGCCCTGCCGTGTGTGGCTGCCCATGAGTCCTCAGGGAGCATTCCCCAGAGGTTTTGAAGAGCCCTGATGCTCAGGGACAGCCGCCAGTCTCTCCTGGAGTCCAGATGCAGTTTCTCATCCACGGGAAACATCTTGCTCATTGGACTGACCCTCCTCAGCTCCCAGCCCCCACTTTCTGAACTAGCTCCGTGTGGCCTGAAGACCCACAGCCTCTGTTTCCAGGGTCGGAAGGGGCTGGCCGGGTGGGGGTGCCACCAGCCCTACGGCTGGCTCTCTGCACAACGCCGCAACGTCTCTTGGCTTGTTCCCAAGAAGGTAGTTCTGTTGTGTTTTGTTTTGTTTTGTTGTAAATGATCCAGATTTTCAAAATATGAAGAAATCTATCTGGAAAAATAGAAAAGAGAAGACACATCTGGAAATCAAAAAGGCGTGATACTTTGGAGTACTAGGGAACTTATTTTCATCTTGAGCAAACATTACAGGGTAAAAACTCTGAGAACTAGAATTGTTGAAGTACTTTAAGCAGAATGTTGTGGCACAGATTGGGATGGAGAAAAAAAGGAGGTTCAAAAGAAAAAGGTTTTGTTCATCCCTGTGACTTGCAAGGTGAGATGTTTTCCTTTGTGATTTAGTCAGTGAAGCAGTCTGAGCAGACTGAAGTCATGCTCAGTCATTGGTCATCTTCAGCTCAGAAAAACTAAATCATTTTAGAGAATCTGAACTTTAAAAAATATCCTGTCCCATCAATAAAATTTCTACAAAAAATGGTTTGGGCTATAATATTCTCCCAGAAATCCCAAATGAGCTAGCATAGACCTAGGCTTCCCCTAATCAGATGGCTTGGCTCTGAATCCTTCTGGGGGCAGCAGGGGGTTTCACACTGACAAACAAAAGATCTCTGGTTCCTGGGCCATCTGCCAGAGCACCAAACCTCTGCCAGACAGGAGCCATCTGGGGCACACAGTGCCCAGGTCAGCTTAGAGTCTGGCTCTGCTTGGAATCACTGTGCTTCCTCTCCTTTGGGGAATGAGAATTCCCAGGCTGTCTTGGGTTAAATGTTTGATGCTCTTTTTTGTCCAAGCAGGGAGCATGACACTGCCTTGTTATTGTGGGGAGCATCTCTACCACTAGAAAATTCGCTGGAGTTTCCCTAAGTCTGTGTATCACAGCTGGCTGGAGAGGCCCACTCACAGAGGAGAGAGACGAGAATCCAGGCTCCTGAGTCCTACAGCTGTGGCCTCCCCATCCTTTCTTGCCTGGCCCTATTTTCACCTCCCGTGTCCCCCCTCACCCAATCCCCTCACCTCCCCGGGCCCTGTCTCACCTCCCCAGACCACCCCACTTCCCCGGGCCCTGTCTCACCTCCCCAGACCACCCCAC